TGACATTCGAATGCAAGCACTGCGGTGCTGCCTCCGGTTAAACAATCTGCTCATGAAGCCTTTGGCGGCGGTTTGTCCGCCGCTGTCGAGTAAGAGGCGTTGAGTACCTGGAATGTTTCCGGTGCACCGCGACAGCCGAAGGGGCAGGAGCTGAGGGGCAGGCTAGAGATGCCTCGCCGAAGTCGCTGAGTGCTGACTCGGGCGTCACCTCACAAAGCACTGCCCACAATCGCTGCAAAATTAGGCAAGCCTAGCCTTCACAGAGCCGTAGAAGAAGGACCAGCTGTGTTCTGCAAGCGGGCTCCCCATCATCCCGGCGTCTCTCCCTCCCTCCCTCCCTCACTCACTCACTCACTCACTCACTCTCTCTCTGTCTCTCTCTTCCTCTCTCTCCCTCTCTCTCTTCCTCTCTCTCTTCCGCTATATGCAAGCTGTGAAGCCCATGGTGCATGAACAACCAATCCTGGCGGCGCAGGCCGAATGGTCTCCAGAAGGTCTTTGACCTTGGCGCTGCCTGCCGGAAATCGCCCCAAAAGCCATAAGCGTGGCCCTCGCGTCACTCGGCCTTGCACTACCTGCGGTCCATACAGCACGTCCCCAGTGGAGGTCTGCACAGTGAGTGTCACCTGGCCACTTCTCCTTTTCCCATCGCCTACTCCGAACTTCCTGCCTCCCCCATGGCCGGGTGGGCGTGCCTAACACCTCTCCTTTCGCTTGAGGCTGTTGGCGGTTGGATCAGGGTGTCTCCACCGCTCTGCGCTCACAACAGGAATCATCCTATCGGTCTCACAGATTTTAGCTGGGCAATGTCAAAATAGGGACCCCCAAAATGGCGGCTCTCTCCCTTTAAACCAAGCTACACGTCACATCCATGTTGAGTCGCTCAGCCTCAGCTGCGCCCTTTTACCTCTGCCAGGTGTTTGCCACAAAGCCCGCCGACCCTGCCACGCGGTCCAGCAGGGGCTGCAGGCTTCTGGCCATGCCCGCCTTGGCTGCGCGTGGGTCTTGCGCAGCGCATGTTCAAAGTACAAACTGGGGAGCTTGTGCCCAACCACCAGAATCTGGCATTGCTTAACAAAAAGATGGCAGCAACAAGCATAGATACGAATGTTGGGAGCGCAGCCTGGCTGACACTTCAAGCCACCAACTGTTCACGAGGAAGTGTTTGCAGCCAAAGCTTCTGGCGATCGACTCAGCAATTCTCCGCGAGTCCGCGGAAGCTCCTAGAGCAATGAAGCAAAGGCCACACAGCAACTCCTTTCACCTCCTTGAGCCCTTCCGCTGCGCACTTGCGCCCCTTGACTTGCCTGAATCCCATTCACACGCTCTGACACCAACCACTCCTCTTCAGGATGCCGCTCAGGATATAGAAGCGGAAAATAGGGGCCTCCGCAGAAGCTAGCAAAAACACACCGGCCCAGCTGTTGAGCTGGCCACCCCTTCTTGTCTCTGCTCTCTCGCCTTCCTACCCGGAAAAGCGTCTCGGGCTCCCCTGGCGCTACTGCGCCACATAGGGCTATTTACCAACTTCGCTTGCGTCTCCGGCCAGGGGAGTGCCGGGCGGGTCGTTGCAGGATAACCGCAGGTCGGTGTTCCCCGCCCTTGGACAGTGCCGACCACTCCCCCCAGAACCCGCCAGACACGCAGCAGCCCGGCCCCCCCCCGTCCGAACATGCCCGGCGCCCGACATGCGTGCGAAGCGTGGCACGAAACTTGGTGCTTCGTTGCGGCCTCCTGCTGACAGTGGAAGGGCAAGGGCAAATTGAACATAGCGCACCAACTCGAACCCAGCCACAAACACGTCAACCAGCGGCGCCACCGCCAACCACACGGCACCAATTGCCAAAGGCAAAGTCTCGCTATGTGCCCCTGGAGCCGACCTTCTGGGAAGGGACAAGTCTTCATGAACGGACGAGAGAGAGAGATATATATATATATACATATCCATCCCCCAGCCCTACGGTGTTCCTGAGACACGGGCAGGTCATGTTGCCTCAAAAGGTCAAAGGGAGCAAGGTTGTCCACGATGCACATTGGCAATTGGCATGGGCGGGTGCCTAGCTGCCGTTCGTCATGCCGGATGAGGACAAACCCTACCACCCGGACAGTACCGAGGCTGGCTAGGGCGCGATTCTGCAGAACCTTCAGGCACCACCCGAACACCACGCCACATGTGTCGCCTCGTCTTACCATGTTGGTGGACCACAAGTTTGCGGGAGTGTTCAGCCCCGGATGCACGGCGACAGGACCCGCGGGCGAGAAGGTCACCCTGGTGGAGGCGTTGGCGTGGACGTGGCAGCGCTCGAGGGCCCCCTGGTCACACTGAGCGTTCGGGTCCTGAAGCTTGGCGCGAAAGTTCCGGAAGCTAAATGTTGTCGCGGGGGCGTCCGACGCCCATCGACAAACTCCGGATGGTAACTGGCGCAATACTGTCTGCAGCCAGGACGTCGACATCGACAGCTGGAATGGTTCAGGGGCGTGCAGACCTGGTCTTGCTGAGCGAAGACCGCAGAAGGGTTCATTGGCACGCTGGATTGCCGTCCAGATGGACAGGAAGTCGGCCTCAAACTCGGACATGGTCTGCAACTGGAAGGCGTGACGGATCTGCTGAACGAAGTCCATGGCTCGAGAAGGTCAGGATCAAGGATCACAAAATGCAAGATTTGATCCTTTTCACCAGAATGGCCAACGAGTTCGGAGATCATCCAGGTGAGCCGATTGTTTCGAAGGCTATCACGGTTGCACGTCCGTCTTCAACTGTTCAGTTTGTTAACCAATCAAACTGGCAATCCAAAGGTTCATGGCTATGTGTTGTTATTCATAACGCATGTGTTAACCACAACAAGCACAAAAAACAACAAAACATATACAACCAACAATAGGGTTCCCCCCTCCCATTTTTTAAAAGTAATAATAAAACGACAAAACCAAAACATAGACAACCAAAAGGGGTTTCCCCCCAAAGCAAAACAACAATAATAATAAACCATAGCTAACAAAAAGAGGGTTCCCCCAACCAAAAACGCAAACAACAACAAATAGATAGCCAAAATGTGGTTCCCCCCAAACAAAAACAAAAGCAACAAAACAAAGACAGCCAAAAGAGGGTTTCCCCCGAAATTAGCAAACACAACAAAACATAGACCACCAAAGGGTCCCCAACCAAAAACGCAAACAACAACACATAGACAGCCAAAGGAGCAAACAAAAAACAACAACAAAACATAGACAGCCAAAAGAGGGTTCCCCTAAACAACAACAATAAGCTCAGGTGATATCCCCAACAGCATGCGGCACCACCCCGCAGCCCTCGCAGAACCTGGTGGAACCCTGGTGGAACCCTCGTGGAACCTTACTTCAGGGCCGCCCCGGACCACCCCCTGGGCTGAGACTTGTGGAAAAACAACTAAAACAACACATAGACAGCCAAAAGAGGGTTCGCCCAAACAAAATCAACAACACATAGACAGCCAAAAGAGGGTTCCCCCAAACCAAAAACAAAAGCAACAAAACATAGACAGCCAAAAGAGGGTTCCCCTAAACAAAAGCAACAAAAAACATCGACTGTCAAAAAAGGGTTCCCCCAACCAAAAGCAAAAACAACAAAGCATAGACAGCCGAAAGAGGGCTCCCTCCAAGCAAGAACAAAAGCAACAAACCATAGGCAGCCAAAACAGGGCTTCGCCCAAACAAAAACAAACACAACAAACCATAGACAGCCAAAAGAGGGCTCCGAGGGCTCCCCAAACAAAAACAACTGCCAAAAGAGGGCTCCCCCGCCAAAAACATAAAATAATAGGCAGCCAAAAGCGGGCCCCCCCCTAAAAAAAAGGTCAAGCCCGAATAGACTTGGTTGGCTCACGCCTGTCAGCGGCTCCCCGGGCTTCAGCGAGTGCCCGGCCACGTCGCTCACGGAGCTGGCGGCTCCGCGGGGCGAGTAGCAGGCGCCTGCGGGAAGTCGGGAGGGTCAAGGCGCTGATATGAAGGTCTTGGGATCCTAGGGAGTCCGCCTTAAATGAAGGAAACTCAAGGGACAACAAAAAGAGGAACCCCCATTTTGCAAAAAATGAATAAGACGAGAGACGTCATGTCAACGTGGAGTTATAGGTCAGCCAGGCTTCAAGTTCCAGAGTTGAACCTGTAGCAGTGTGACATGGTAGCTGTTACTACCATCTTTGATGCCTAGCTTGGCAGGCAGGCCTTGGCGAGCCATGGTGCCACTATGAGCTCGTCTCCTTAGATGAATCTCACCTTTGCGCAAACCGCTCAGTGCCAGGATCCAGAAACAACCAGAAAATTAACCTCTTGGAACCTTGACATGGACCAAGAAGGGAAACCAAAAGGTCAAAAGGTCGGCTTTGGGCAACTAAGATCAGAAGCTGCACTGTTCGTTTCACCTGCCCCTCACGCCTCTCATCTGCACACAAATCAGCTCAGCTTCTGCGCCCCTTCCCAACGACCGTCTGGATGAGGGCCTTGACTGCTCACGCCGGGGCTTCAGGTCTGCAAGACTTACCCCATGGAAAGCGTGGACCAGAAACTCGCCGAAATCAGGATGCATGGCACTTGCCTTTCCGCTAGCCCAACCTCTTTTCGTGTTTCTGCTTTCAACTGCGCTTGAAACCATACACTGCCCCGGCTGTTCATGAAACCTGCCCTTCTGCCACCCTTCTACGAACCTTCCGTGCGTTTTCCAGTGGACATCTGCACACGTTGTTTCGTGTTCGGGTTGACCTGGCGCGGCAGAGAGTCCGGGTTGACCTGGCGCCAAGCGTCAGTGACATTTACGGCCTTTGACGACAACGCAGTTGCTCTGGCTTGCCTCCCCCTTTTCCATAGAGAGCGGGCCGCCATGGGGCCTGTGTTTTTCCAGTGTAGTGCCTTTTGGGGCCTGTGTTTTTCCAGTGTAGTGCCTTTAGTGGTGCAAACAGGATTTGTATTTATGTTGTGTTTTTCTTTGTTAGACCAAGGAGCCAGAACACACGGGCATGTCTTTGTGCAAGGCAGCTTTTTTTTGTAGACTTGTTTGCTGGACTGTTGCCAAATCAAATGCTATGTCACCCTAATTAGTGACAGAAAGAGATTGAAGATGCCCTAGGCTGAATCAAAACTGCTCTCACTTGGCGGACGGTTTCTTGTAGACGGAGGAGCACTGATAGGGCTTGGCCACACGCTTGCGCTTCTGCTGGCCGTGCTGGTTGATGTACGTGGCCTTCTTGTTGCGGATCGCTTGGTTATGCATCTTGCAGTAGTAGAGCACCTTGAAGGCGTGCCGGAGAGGAGAGGATTCGTTCAGCACACGTGCGTAGTTCCGAAACCACGCGAACACTTGCTCTGCCGCAGACGTGTTCACGTGCTTCAACCGCTTGGCCAACCGCGGCACATGCAGAGGGTTGCACTTGCATGTCTTCTTGTGCCCAGTGGCATGGAAGCAGTCGATGGTCCAATACTTCACCTGCTTGAATTCTTTCACCTCCAGGGCTTGCGGCATGAAGGCGCAGTTCCGATCCAGCACGAAGCAGTTAACCTTCTTGTACATGGGCAAGATCTTCAACAGTGAGTCCTTCACAACTTCGTTGTTCTCTGGCTTGCTCATGCAGGAAACCGAAAGCACTTGCAAGTTCTTGGGGTCGACGATCATGAACCACCCGTGCCCGTACGGCTTGCCCTTTCCATTCTTGCGGGGCTTGCCTTGGTGCGGCGCAACCTCAGAGCACTTCACATGGACTTTGGCATGTCCATCGCCAACTAGCTCTGTGACAGAAGCTTTGTTTCGAGGGGGGAAGACTTTGGAGTGCAGGTGCTTGTCATACGCAGCCAAAGAGATCTCGGAGAGTTCGTTGCCGATCTCAATGGGTTGGTTGATGCCAAGGGAAGACAACTCCTGCAATGCCGCCCAGTACATAATTGCATCTGCGTGAGCCTTCCGGAAGCGAGTGAAGTCCGTATCATCCACGGTGCCGTGGACATTCTCGTACACATCCTGGATGGCTCTGGATGAAACAAATGCACGGAACTCAAGCTGGGTGTGGTACTGCAAGTACTCCAAGCTGAAGCCACGCTTCACGTTCACGAACAAGACCTTCTGAATGTCCTGCGGGTTGGCGGTGTTCAGTTTGCATCCATCGACATTGACAAAATTGAGGCCGTAGGTCTTCCTGCAACCCCAAGCTGCGCAGCGCATAGTCCGGACGATTGCATCAGATGGACCACTCATTAGACGACCGTCTCGATGTCATGAGCTTTGGACAAAGCCTTGTGTCCACACGAGCAACTCTTCATGTGTGTGCTGTACACACGCTTGGAGAGCGCGCCACCGGGAATATGAAAAGCAGGGCATAGGCTTGAGGCACCAGCGCACATGAAGGTCAGCTTGAAAACATGGAAAATCGGACTCTTCATGAACTCCGCAAAGACATCCGCCGAGATGTACGCATGCATGCCATCGTCGACTTTCTGCACCTTCCCGTTCGCGTTGATGACAGCGAAGAAATGGCTTCTTGTTGTGTCCAGCACGATAAACTTGCCTGGCTGCAGCTTGCTGTTTGTAGACACTAACTTCAAAGGGGCACCTAAGGGGGCCAACATCTCACATCCATCAGCTGCAGTGAACGGGCCATTCTTGTCGTAAGAAATGGGGCACCCAAGGCTGCGAAGAGAATTGCAAAGGCACACCTCCGAGTAGGTCTCGTTCGAAGCACCGCAGCCAGCAGGATGAAGCCAGGCCTCATCCATCTCCTCAGCTGCTTGGTCCATCTCTTTATGGATTCTTGGCTGCGCAACAAGGAGCTTGCTGCTCTGGTTGCTTCCTTTGGCTGAGCGTGGTCTGGGGCAACAGGTGAAGGTGACACGACTTTCTGCGGGGAAGAGTCCAAGTCGATCACGCTGCCAGAAGACTGCATATTCAAGCTCCATGTCTTAGCTTTCTTGAAGACCCCCTCCTGCTCCATCTCAAACTTCTCCTTCTTGACCGACACTGCAGACTTCTCAAGGGCACGCTTCTGCTTGTCTTGCATTTGCTGAGTCACCGAAGGAGCCGCCGCTGGCCTCTCTCCGAAAACTTGCTCCCGAATCCGATTGCGCTTGGCATCTTCCTCTTCATCCTCCTTGCTGCGACTCCTCTCTGCGAAGCGCTTGTGCATGACCGCCTCCACCCACAGCTGCTCCTTCTTCACCTCCTCGACGAAGTCATCTGTGATCTCCTTGGTTCCACCCTTGTGAAGACCATATAGACGTTTGCCCTCCTCGGTGAGATATTCCGCCTTGATCTCCCACACACGCGGCACTGCCTCGGTGTTGATGCCCGCCTTCCTGTAGTAGACGTGAGTCTTCGTATTCAGCAAGATGCAAGTTCTCTTGAAGACAGCATCCATGTGGGCGAGAGTGGCACTTTCCACAATGCTGGGGCGCATGAGCTTGAAGAAAGTCTCGAAGCTGACGGTGTTGGCATACGCAGGCTCCTCGGAAACACCATCATCATAGGTGTTATCTGCGACGGCACGAGGTTCGTTTTGAACCCATTTTGTCGCACCCCATCGAGCCCAACACATGCTCTCATAGAGCCCGACATCCAGGAATGCCTTGAGCAACTTCATCGGGAGCATGTGCAAGGATGTGTCATCCAGGAAATCGCCCATGAGCACGGACCCCTGTTCGCCACGAAGAAAGTCAATCTCCGGCGTAGAGCGGATACAAGGCTGACCCGACAAGTTGAAGCGCGCCTTGTTGTGGCGCACCTGTGCCATCAGGACGCTCCTACCCAACGGGCTCTTTCCCGCGCCCGCCTCCCCCAGCATGGTGAAGGCTGAGAGATCGAAGTCCCATATCTCCTCCATGATCTCCAAGAGCCAGGAATGGTAATACTTGGTCGTCAAGCGAACTCCTTGCGGGCCAAAGCGCCATCCGAAGCCAAGTTCCGAAGAGCGCGGTCAACCAAGGCCTGAGGCCATCCATGGATGGGAGAAGCTTTCCGGCGCAACTCCTTTGTCATCCATCGCAGCTGCTGCATTTCAGATGAGCTCCTGGGGCCATGTGCCAAAATGAAATCGAACCCCGCATCCACTTCCTCATCTGTCTTGTCCTCGAATGAGGAAACAGTCTTGGACTTCACGATGGCGTTGCTCGACAGCTCCGCACACTTGAACTGCCGACCACCCATGGTCTCAATGCAGTACTGCACGATCTTTCTGCCGAGCTTGGGCTCCTGCATCCAGATGGCGCGCTTGGCAACTCCGAAGCCGAGCTTCATGAAGAGAGGGGCCTTGCATTTCTGGGGGAAGATGAAGTGCTTCCAAATGGTATAAGACACTTTCTTCTGCAAGCCGAAGGGTGCAGAAATAAGGTCCAGATCTTCATTTTCAATGGCTCGCTTGTACTCGCGCTCCAACACGGTAAAGTCAATCTCCTTGCGGTAGTTGAAGATGACATCGAAGAGGTGCACGCTCGCGTTGTCTGTGTGGAGCAAGTCCGCACAGGGGAAGTTGACCGGGTTGAAAGAGCCAGGCGGTTGCTCTGGCAAGGTAATAGGACTGGTGGAGTTCCTGCAAACCATGCCATCGAGCACCTCCCTGAGATGGTCCACGGTCATATCCTCCGCCTCGAGAGCCTGACTACTTGAAAGAAGAGGGAATGAGCTGAGACTTACTTGAGCAGGCTACCAGAAGAGGGAAAAGTAGATGCAGATCCAGACGCAGCATGGAGCAAGAAGTGCAACAGAGGAAAACAATCCGGGAAACCCAAAAAAAACCCAAAAAACAATCCTGAGAGGGAAATGACAGGAGGTGGCTTGCCTGAGCTTTTGTCTGCCAGATTGGTTTTTTTGTTTTTTTGGTTTTTTGTTTTTTTTTTGTTTTTTTGGTTTTTTGGGTTTCCTCGAAGAAAGCCCCAAACAACAGTCATGAGGGGGAAATAAAAGGAGGTGACTTACCTGAGCTTGTCTGTTTTTTTCGGTTTTCCACGATTTGTTTTGTTGTTTTTTGTGTTTTTTTCTGTTTTTTCTGTTTTTTTAATGATTTTACTGTACTTCAAAAACGCAGGCCCCATGACGGCCCCTTCTGTTTCCATATTGTTTGGTAAATACTTTCCATCTTGGTGCTGCAGTTTGCGGCAGACATGCGCTTCGAGACTGAGACAATCCAACACCTCGCGCTGATGTGGCCTTTTCTGAAGGCAGGAGGTCCAGCAGGGACTTTAGATGCGAGACATTTGCTGGACAGTTTTTGGCTGACAGCTAGTTCTGCCCTTTTGGGCAGACAGGACATTGTGGCTTTGATTTGGTTTTTTCGGCACATGCAGGCTTGTTTGTTGAGCACCCTTTTTCCAGAAAGCATGCGGACGCACAAGCAGAGCGTGACGCTGGCCTTGGTTCTCGCATCCATCATGACAATTCAGGGTTTGCTCCGCTGCCGACTACATCGCGGAAAGCCTTGGGTGCGGAGAATTGGAACAGCAGGAGCTGACAGAAGAGTTTGTATCTGAAGCTATTCTCTTCCTCCGGCATAGCGTGGAAGGGCTCGGAGCAATGGAAGAGGCTTGTGTCTACGCTCTCTTCAATGGCAGTGCGTTGTACATTGGCAAGGCGTTGCTACAAAGAAAGGGAGCACAGCTCGGGGTCCCTAGCCGGATCATGGAGCACCTAACCTCAGCTTTACGAAAAGGAGCGCAGGCCTCACGTACAGTTAGGGCGGTGCTTCTACGGCAGCAACCAGCCTCCGGCAATTGCTTCTTGCCCGTGAAGCGAGGGCCGCATGACTGGATCAGGGCGTCAGAGACGGTTGCAATAAGCACTTTGCGACCAACAAGCAATTTTGGACACTGCCGGCCCCGAAGAGCTGACAAACCTTGGAATAGGCGAAGCCGTCCTCCTCCGCGATTCCGCCAACGGGCTTCCTTGCCTTTGTGGGGGCAGCCAGCTTGTTTGGACCAGATCATCAAGATGGCAAAGCAGAAACGGGATTTCCCTTTTGGCCATTTGCTACCAGCATGGACACGCCAGAGCTTCCGTGAAGCCTACAGGCGCAAGCAGCAATCCATTTATGCCTCAAGAGGCATGCAAGGACCTCTCTACATCTATGCTGAAGGCTGTGGGAGCCTGCTGGCTTTATGGGCGTGCAGCAAGCACGCTGCCGTAGACGCCCGGCAGCTGCTGGCGAGGAAAAGCGTGGCGCCAGCGATCCTGCGCTTGGCGCGTCTGATCTCTTGGGTGCACGGATGTGCACGGCTACGTCCGGCAACGCAATGGATTTGCCCAAGTGGACAAGCTTCTGCGCAGGTTCAACTTGCCAGGGAGGCAAATCCATTGGTTCAAATGTCCTAGCTCAGACGCCAAGCAGCGCCTGCAACTGGCGATCAAGGCAGCCGCAGTGTCAGAAGCAAGGCAGCATGGCCAGGTCCTGTACACATGGGTGATGCAGCGAGTCCGCTTTTCCTCCTGTACTGCGCCCCGTTTTTCCGACAGGCGCAGTGCGGTGCAGATGGCAAAGCAGATTTCAGCTGCGGCTGTGTGGCGGAGTGGCTTGTTTGAAGTGAAGCATTGGCGCAGAGGCGAAGAAGTCAAAAGGCTGCCAGGCAATTGGGCAATCATGGATCGCGAGGCACTAGTTCACTGCGAGCGTGAGCTGGCTGGAGATCTGAAATCGTGGCTTCGGGACAAGAATTTTTCGCACAAGGCCAGTCAAGCATGTTTGAAGCATTTTGCTCAACGCCCAGCTCTTCCTATTAGGCCAGGCCCGGTTGAGGAAACGGCTTACATACAGTGTATGACTGCGCCGAAAAACGAAGTTCTTCTTCAAGACGATAAGGACAAGAAGTCAACCTGGACTATGCCCTTCGCATGCCTGGCTGAGATTTTTCTTTCCTTGGTCTTGTTGGATCCACAATGGGAAGCGACATTCTTGTCCCCGAGGCAGCTCAGCACTTTGGTACATGGCGTTTTGCAATCCCAGCATTCCTGCGAAGAGGCCCCCTGCCCCAGGGATCCTTTGCGCCATGCATGTACCCTTTGGTGAAGGCCAAATGTTTTCTGGCAGCTGGCGGCCACACCTGTCAGCAACGTGGGCACAGCTGTTTCAGGAAATTTGTTTCCTTAAGGCACCTTGGCGCCGAGACTGGCGGTTGGCTGGCCGTGCAATTCAGGTTTTGATTTGCACTACAGGAGATGGCTTTTCTGTTTGGAAGCTTAAGCAGGTCGTGCCGCTTCTACGGCCAAACTTTGCTCAGCTACGGGTACCCGACTGCGCGCACACCTGTGTCATTTGTGGAGGCTACAAGTGGCACACCTCTTTGTTAGTGGCTGATGCCGCGCAGATGTACGAGCAGGTTAACACTGACTTGGTCATCTCTGCTTTCGATGCTAACGCGGCTCAGCTTCAGGATCTCAAAGGGGTTCAAACGATCACCAAGTCCAGATCCCGTCCCGTCAAAGGCTGGGCAGGAGGGTCGGAGCACACAAGGTCCCGATCACTGGTAGTCTTCTCCATGGCACAGTTGCGCAGGATGATGTTGGCCAGTTGTGCTTTGCGCTTTGCCACGATTGGCGACATTGTTGTCAAAGCACGGGGTATTGTCATCGGAGGGCTTCTATCCATGATTGCAGCGGTCTGCCTCTTAGCCCATGAAGAGGAACACTTTCTTCGGGGGCGAAGCAGGAGGGCCGAAAACTTGCCAGACCTGCCCACAGGTTGGACACTACGGGAACTGTTCTTCGGAATGCGGTATGTAGAGCCAGCGTCAATATTTGCTGTGTGGGGTGTATTCATTCTACTTTTAGTGAGTCCCCTATCGTTCTCCACGCTTCGCGCGTGCGCGCAGTGCCCGATGAACCCTCTGCAGGGATCGCGCGCCTCGAAGCGCTCTCGCTGTGGCGCCGTGCGAATGCGTAAAGTGCCCAACCAACCCTCTGCGAGGATTGCGCGTGTCAAAGCGCCCTCGCTGTGACGCCGTGCGAATTTGAAAAGTGCCCGCCGAACCCTCTGCAGGAATCCTGCGTGCCCAAGCGCTCTCGCTGTGGCGCCGTGCGAATTCGTAACGTGCCCAACAAACTTTCTACGCAAACACAGCATTTGCATCGTAACCACATGCGTAGTCTTTTGAACACGAAGCGCTCTTCCCATCGCGGGCCCTTTCTGTGTGTGCTGAAGGATGTCTGCTGAAGGATGCGTGCTTGTCTTTCGTAAGCAAATGCACTAGGCCTCACATTGGCAACTCCGGGACATTGCAGGGGTATCGATGGGGTATCGACAGGGGTATCGTTCTGGGCGTGTGCCAAGTTGCGGAAAACTTTCACATTTTGCTATAAGCTATGAGAGCCAAGCAATCACACAATAGCCTTCTCTGCCTTGCGGTAGTCATGTGAGCCGCTCACGCCGCTCAAAGCTCCACATTGCTTGCAAGCAGAATGACACTTGAGACGTGAATGAATGCATCATGTTCACAAACCATGTTCAGAGGGGTATCGTTTTTAGTGAGCCCCCTATCGTTCTCCAAGGAAAATGCAAAAAAAAAGCAGTCTTGAATGAAACGCCGTTGATAAAGTGGTCTTTGATAATTCTGAAGTTGACTCTTCTCCTAGGATCCTGTTCCGTGTGCCATGCTTGTATGGGACAATGGTTGGCAGCTATCTATTCTGTACGCTTTGCCATCAACAAGGAGGAGAGTGCGCAGACTTGGACCGACGTGGTTTTCCAAACCGACCCGAACACTGGGGCAATTGCATGGGCAGCCAAGAACCCGAACAGACAGTGGGGCAGCGGCAGCCCTTTCTTAGGTCGTTTGCAGCTTCCTTTCGGGTTACTCCGGGCCACCTTGTTAGGTAGAGCAGCTTGCCTTAAGGAACTTG